GATGTGAAATTTGATAGTTTGGATGTGTCACAAAGTTAAAAAAAAAAACTTTTAAAGCTTGAGCTTGGTCAATCAAATAAATGCAGCCATCCAATGTCACATCCAATGGTCAAAATTAATGTGACCACCATGTATCAAAGGTAAATGATCTCATTCTATGCTTTCTCATACTATATTTGGTATTTTAAAATCTTTATTTTTCACATCTGTATATCTCTAGGCTTGATCAATTAGAGGACTTTTCACCATCAAAACAACATTTTTCAATGGATTTTTGAAGTGTTCCTTTTCTCTACCATTTAAGGTTGCAACTTTATATGAACTTTTTTCATTTTTTTAAATGTATTTTGAGTTATGACATGTATACTATGCACCCTCGTCGGCATAGTTGGCATTTTAAAATCTTTGTTTTTCACATCTAGATCAATTAGAGGGAATTTCACCATCAAAACAACCTTTTTTAATGGGTTTTTTAGGTGTTCCTTTTCTCTACCATCTAAGGTTACAACCTTATATAAACTTTTTTCTTTTTTTTAAATGGATTTTTAGTTGTGGCATGTATACTATGCACCCTCGGGAGCATAATTTACTTCTACTTCATTGATGGTCGAGGACCTATTTAAGAGGATTTTTCGATCTAAAATTTTGTGAACCGCCTAAGAATCACTAGATGATTATTCTCAAAAGGAAAAAAATTGAAATTTGAGTTTTCTAACACTTAGATCTTGCTATTTAAAATTTCGATGGTCTCTATTTCATTTTCAGACATTGTTTTTTTTGTCAACTGCATGGAAGATTCAATTAGGGATTTTTTTTATTATTGATATTAATCTAGGAAAAATATCTCCTTATCCCCTATTTTAAACTTTTATATCTCATGAGACCTAAGAATTGAAAATATTACTTGTAAAAAAAAAGTCTTAATCTTTTCTATCTTACAACCCCCTGGACCCCTTTGACCTTAAATTTTTGACCTAAATAAATACTAAAATGACACGCTATTCAAACTCCATCTCTCTCTCTTCACTTCTCGGTTAGTTTACTAGCCAAGGGGTTTAGCTTGAACTCGAACACGAGCACACCTTCTTATGTGAGAGAGAGATGGAGTTTTAGAGAGAGTGAGAGATGCAGTTTGAGTTTTAGAGAGAGATGGAGTTTTAGAAAGAGAAAGAGATGGAGTTTGAGTTTTAGGGAGAGAGATGGAGTTTTGAGAGAGAGAGGTATGGAGTTTGGGTTTTAGAGAGAGATGGAGTTTTAGAAAGAAAGAGATGGAGTTTGAGTTTTAGGGAGACAGATGGAGTTTTGAGAGAGAGACGATGATGTGAAAGAGAGATGGAGTTTTGAAAGAGACACGATGATGTGAGAGAGAGATGGAGTTTTAAAGAAAGAGATATAGTCATTTCATAAGTTGTTGAGGTCAATAATACATAGTCAAAAAGATTTAAGGGATTAGAAGATAGAGTTGCTTACAAATAATATTTTCAATTTTTGGATCTAATGAGATATAAAAGTTAAAAATAGGGGATAATATGATATTTGCCCATTAATCTATGGGTTGAAGAGGTAACATCTCCAAATTTTGGGGTCCTTAAGATAGGTTTTATCTAAGAGAGTAAATGGGGCAGTACGCTCCCACGAGAGTATAATACCTTTTGGTTTTGAGTTCTTTAGTTAAGAAGTGTCCAAAAATTGGATAGACTCTATTGTATGACATTATTTGACTCTATTGTATGATATTATTTTTCTCAAGCAGTGTCTTGGTGTTCTAATTTCTTTTTCTTTTCCTTTGCATCCCAAATTATAGCTTGTAAGATAATTTAAGTAAATGGTTTCATTGCATACAATCATTATTTAATGTTGTAATGTTGTAGATGCCCCTCGATCAGAAGCATGACATAAAAAATTTAAGTTAAATGGAATAATAGAAAGGAAAAAGTTTATATAAGTGTGAGGCTCTAAACAATCATAAAAGGGCACACATAAAAAATTTCACTAGAAGAGGTTGTTTTGATGCCCAAATATCTTCAAGTTGATCATCTCGACCTCAAGATATATGGACATGAAAAAAAAAAAAAAAGGATTTCAAGTTTTGGAAATAGTGCATCTTCTAATGCATTTAAGATTTTCATAGATATGTTCAATCTACCATATCTTATAATTTGAGATTAAAATATATTTTAGGGCTGCCACAAGGATTTCCACTATTAAAACCATATTTCTCAATACTATTTGAAGGTGCGCTTTATTATGATTGTTTGGAACCTCGGCCCTATACAAACTGTACCCTTATATAAAGGGAAAAGTTTATATAGAGCCGAGGCTCTAAATAATCAATTTTGAGCCTACCTTAAAAAATTTACTAGAAGAAGTTGTTTTGATGCTCAAATATCCTTAAATTAATCATCTCGACGTCAAGATGCATAAATATGAAAAAAAACAAATGGATTTCAAGTTTTGAAAATAGTGTACTTTGTAACACATTTTTGGACCGTCAATTTTCAAGTTTTCATAGATCTATCGATCTACACTATTTTTAAAACTTTTAACTTTACAAATAAAGATGAAAATATATTTTAAAGCTATCATAAAGATTTTCAATATTGAAACGACATTTCTTGACACTATTTGTAGGTAGGCTCTAATTTGTTTGTGTAGAGCCTATGCACTATATAAACCGCACCCTTATATAAAAGGTGTGGTTTCTATAAAGCCGCAACCTTAAACAATTCAATTAAGACGCAGCTCTAAAATTTATCATAATATGTAATTTTGATGTAAATTTTTTTTAAGATTATCTCAAAATCTATTTTCATGTATAATTATAAAGTTTTAAACTCTAAAAATGGGTAAAATCAAGTAGATCTATAAACATATGAAAATATTAAAAATGTACGGTCTAGATAATGCGTTGTAAGATGCACTGTTTCTCGAACTCAAAATCTTTTTTTTTTATATTCACACATGTCGATGTCAATATGATCAATTAAAGGCTTTTCCAACATTAAAATTTTTTATAGATTTTTGATGTGCATCTTTAATTCTACATATTTGCTTATATAACTCAAATTAAAAATAGTACTATGGTCAAGGTACAAAATCTTTCAAGATTTGGTATCCCAATCTAGTCGTGCTTACTCTTTTTGTATTGCCAAAGTTTTCTCACCATTAAAGCTCTCTCTCTCCATCTCTCTGTATATAACTTGCTTTAACAATTCAAGCCTCACTTTCTCTCTCTAAACCATGACCCCCTCTCTTCACTCGACTTCTCGTCGCCCAAAACCCAGAAACCCACCCAACACAAACCACCACTCCCCTCCCTCTCTCTGCAAACACTCCGCGTCTGCAACTCTCCTCGACATTCTAATCCTCGTCCCTCTCCTAACCTCTCTTTTCTTTCTCATTCCCCCTTGTTTTTCTTTCCTCATCCAAATCATCTCTCTCTCACTGCCGTTCCTCACCAACAATGCCCACCTCTACTACCCATTTGCTTATTCTCTCTCCTTTCTTTCTCTCCTCTTTGCTTTGCTGGGTCTCTCCCAATTGTGCCACCGTCATTCTCGAAAATGCGGAAAACCCAATTGCAGGGGACTCAAAAAATCCATGGGATTTGATTTACTGTTGCAGAGTGAAGAAAAATTGAAGCTTTCTTCGAGGATAGATGATTTGCCATTGAAGGGTGGGGTTGAGCTTAGGGCTGAGTATGAGTTTTTGCAATTTGAGCTCAAGAAAATGGCGCCTCCTAATGGAAAAGCTGTGTTGCTTTTCAGGGCTCCTTGTGGTTGCCCTGTTTCGAAGTTGGAGGCTTTGGGACCAAAGGGAAGCCGAAGGTCATGAACTCATTGTTCTTAACCACACTTTGCAATAAAACCACGCCATGGTATACTACCCAACATGGTTCTAGTCATGTTTTTTTGATCCATTATAGCCAATATTTTTCAATAAAACAAAACCATAATTACCTTATTTTCCATTTCTTCCATATCGCTCAGGATAATTGTTTATGAGATTGTTGTAATCATTAATATTGGTTGTGGTGATGTGTTTTTCATCAGAAAGTGAAGCATTTATTCTTAAATAATTTGTTCTAAGGTGATCTTGAACTCCAATAATCAAAATGGACATATTCAATAAGAAATGTTCCTCTGTGGTGATTTTGGTGCAGTTTGATCATAATTTCTCTAACATAACAAGTCTGCATTTCCCTTTTTATGAATTTTTGGTAAATTATAGTTCATTAGGAAACAGTTGAGCACAATGGGTTCTTAACATCTCAGGATCAATATGAAAAAATAGGATAATGAACTGCAAAGCCTCTATATTTTGAGTGTTGTTTGTTGGACAAATTGATATGTTTGGTTCCCAGGTATTTAATTTGAATTGATCATGACTTATCAGTTGTATAGTTGTGGCATATTTATGCTCTGTCTTGATGCTATAATGTAGAGCTTGCTAAGTTCTTGTTTGAGAGTGCTTTGCTTGTCTTTTAATAGCTACAAAACAGTGAACATCAGGTGCTTTGAATAATTAAAATGAATGGTCCAAGAAAAGGGCACAAAATGGATGATTTTAAGGCTCGAAATTGATTTCTTTTTTGTTCTCATGATCGTGGTGGTCTTGATGACAGACCTGCAAAATTTTGTACACAAAGTCCATCTCCAAGATGGATTCGTTGACAATGAACTCCCTATAACAGGTGCGTCCCGAGACGCACCACACGCTACTCTTTAAGTAGAGGCATCTCGGATAAAATAACAAGCTCTCCGAGCCTCCTAGTAAAAAAGCTTAGATGTTTTCCATTACTAAAAATTATGTATGAGTGAATTAAAAAATAAATAAAAAATGTATGAGTGGTTTGTGGAGGTGCCAATTGCTATGGTTCTTAATGCCCACCATAACATCCTGGCATTATTAGTTCAAGGAGGCTCATAAGGACCTATTGTCTGTGCACTATAACAATTGTCTCTCTATGCTCAAAAGTATTGGGAACTCTATGAGCACTGGTCTCCTTGGCATTCCAGCTTGGTATATCACGAGAACTTTGGTTCACAGAATCATCTGTGGCTGCCTTTGTTGAATTTATTGTTCATTACCATGCTTCATGCATTTTTGTTGGGAGCATGCCCTTATGTTGGGATAATAACTTCCGGGAAAGTACATAATGGGACTGTTTACCTTTCGTAGAAATGGGTAACAGTCACCCGATCTGTTTGATGTGAAATTGGGCTACTGGGGATGTACCATTAACCGTGCTCTATGCTTGAAAAATTTTTCGTCAGACTTTGTGTGGGTTAGTGATACACCCCATCCATCTGATTTTATCTGAGGGCTTTGGGGTGTTTGTGACGCTTGTGCATGAAAGCTAACAGTCTCATTGTATACAATCCCTACTTTTATATATATATCAAGATCTCGATGCCCATGTATCTGCAGTTTCCATATAAGACCTGCAAATTCCCATCAAATTTGATTGTCTATTCCATTACTTTCATTTTTTCGTGGAGACTCTGCACTGTGAGATCTTCTTGTTGCTTAATCTTGTGACACAAATAAGACCATGGACATGTCCTTTGTCCTCCGGAATGTATATCTTGGATGTTTTGATGTATACTGGCTTAAAAATAATTCATATCTCGGATTGGATAGCTTTTGGGCATCATCTGTCATGGTCAATTTCTCAAGTTCTTATGTAATTGATTCCCAACCATCCATCACCATAAGTTTCATGGCAACACTAACCATGCAAATGTCACTGAAAAATATGCAATTTATGCCTCTCAATTTTATCTTGGAGGAGTTATACAGAAATTTCATTCTGGACACATGGAAAGACTATTGAGCTCATGAAGCAACTGTTATATATGTTGACATAAGCCCCATTGGAGTAAAAAGTTGTGTTACCCCACTAAAACACTTCATTCCCATGAAATAATTTCTGAGTCATGCTTCTGAAGTGATGAAAATTACCTGTGCCAATACTTGATTTGTACTAATGGGCAAAGGGCATTTTAACATGTGTGCATGTGCCAGAATCCTTGTGAATTTAAATGTCCATTGAGATATGTATCTATGTAATCTGCATAATAGACATATGCATATCTGTGTCACCTTAGCTGGTGTTTCCATCAGCTTTTTGTTTTGGTCCCATAGTGCTTCCCTTGTTTCAATGTCCCACTTCTCATCAGTGTGTTAGGATTAGAGTTTTCCAAGGATGTAAATGAGTCAGGTCCAGGTCGTATTGACCCCAGCCAATGCAACTCAAACCAGCAAGTCAAGGGTAGACCTCGAACCTGTCAGGTCCTTGTCAAAAACACGCATGCACACACATATATCCCTCGACATGGACTCAAACCTACTTGATTAAGTCCTGGCTGGAACAAGGACCTGCCCTCCCAGGTCCAAGGTGAGTCCGGACCTAGAACTGGACTGAGTTGATATGGCCACTAGCTCAAACCTACCGAATACCGCTGTTTGGGTACTTGGAAATATATTAGGTGACAATAGATTACAAGGAAATATGATATTTCCATTGTTTGAGTACACTTAATCCTAAGAAAATAGAAAAGGATGACCTTGATCCTTCCCTTTTTTAAGTTCCCCTTGAAAGGGGTGTCATATAAAAACAAAAATAATAAAAATAAAAATCAGTAATTAATGATAAATTACACAACACAATCATAATAAAAAATTTCACACAACATAATCCTCATAAGAGATTGCTAAAATCTCAATTGAAATAACATACCTCTTTAGTCTCTTCCAATACCTCAAAATTTTATACTGCAATTACAAACCCTTCTAGTTTACTAATCAAACTTCTTCCCATTTTTTAACTCATATCATAGAGATTTGAATTTAGTATCATAAATTTATTGTTTATTTGAAATTATATAGAGAGACATTTGAAAGGCTTCTATAAAAAATAAATAAAAATAAAGCTTATCATAATAAAATCTTGTTATTCCAATGACTTGCATGTTGAAACCAATGTCATGTTAGAAGACGTGATTCCATGAAAAAGAAGTAGGAAATGGTGTCATGATGACTGTAGAATGGTATAAGTTATTATTAGAAATTTTTTTTGGAATGGTGATGATGTTATTATTAAAAATCTTTTTAAAATGGTATGATGATGATTCTAATTCCATATTTTAGTAGAATTTTGTAACAAAAAAGAATGAAATGATAATTCTGCATTTTAATAGAATTTTGTGACAAAAAAAGAAAGAAATGATATTTTATAAGCATGTGCTAGTAAAATATTGATAATGCATTTCTTATATTTCTTCAAAACATAGCCAAATAATATCTAAACAGTAACAATCCATTTACAACAGTAACAATCCATTTACAGGTAATGTATCATGCCAATATAATATATTTTACAAACAATATATTTCTAGGTATCCAAACGGTTTCTAGGTATCCAAACGGCCCCTTAGAGAATAACCTTCCCTGTAATGTTCCCTATTTCCTTATCCAATCATAGAAGATATGTGCAAAATTAGAACCCATTCTCCTTCATTTCTGGACACCAAGAAACCCATGGTTGCCTTTGGTGCTGCCTCTTTTTTTTTGTTTGCCCCAAGGTTTTAAAACACCCCGTTTCGTTGTGGATCGGGTGCCATCGGAGGCATTTTGGATCTGCAAAAATATCGGGATCCGGCAGTGTTAGAGAACCGCATGTCATGACATCACGGATCCGACACATCATCGGTTCAAATATTTTTTTTTTGAAGTCATGTAAATATGATTTTTTTTTATATAAAATAATAGAGGCCCATATTTTTCGATTTTTAGCCACACGTCATACAACCTTGCAGTCTTGCTTCTCCATCACTGGTTCCAAACGACGAGATTGAATTATTTTTACAGTGCCTTTGGACTCCCACAATTTTCGTACTGGGACAATATTATTTGTCTCTTCTATCGGATAAGACGCTCTGAAATTGATGCAACAATATTATTCGTCTCTTCTATCGGATAAGACGCTCTGAAATTGATGCATAAAAGGTTATTGAATAAGACGCTCTTTACATGTAAGGTTGTTGAATGAGACGCTCTTTTCATGTAAGGTTGTTGAATGAGACCCTCTCTTGCCTCTTATATTTTAAGCTATTGAATAAAGGGAAAAGTTTATATAGTGCCAAGGCTCTAAACAATTCATTTAGAGCCTAACTTAAAATTTCACTAGAAGAGGTGGTTTTGAAGCCCAAATATCCTCAAATTGCATCAACATGTATGGACATGCGGAAAAAAATGGATTTTAAGTTTTGGAAATAATGTATTTTGTAACCTATTTTTGGACTGTCAATTTTCAAGATTTTCAAGTTCTCGTAGATTTGTCTATCTACACTATATTTGGAGCTTTGAACTTTATAAATAAAGATGAAAATATATTTTAAGGCAATCACAAAGATTTCCAGTATTCAAATCACATTTTTTGATACTATTTGAAGCACTATTTGAAGGGAGGCTCTAATTTGATTGTTTAGAGCAGGGTTTGAAAACTCGTCGAGTCGAGCCGGACTCTCCTGGTTCGACTCGAGAATCGTCTGCAACCGAGTTGGTTCTAGGAAAAAATCGGAAATCGCCTGTGTCCAGAGAGAACCGGGCGATTCTAAATAGTGAATGGCAAGTCTCACCGAAAAAACCTGGGTATTTTAGTAATAGAGAACCGGGCGATTCTAAATAGTGAATGGCAAGTCTCACCGAAAAAACCTGGGTATTTTAGTAATTTTTGGGTTTACACTGGGCATTTTAGTAATTTTTGGATTTACACGTGGCCGTGAGACACTAGCCATTTTAGTAATTTTGGATTTACACGTGGCCGCCTCACGGGAGCAACATGTGGCACTTAAAAAATCCTGCACACGTGGTAACTCACCTCACATGCCTGCCCCCTTGCTTTTCTACACGCGCAATGCAACATCTATTACAGAGGAATTTATAGAGAACAAAGCAACGTTCATCCTTCGATGTGGGATAATTTTCACAAAAAATCATTAAAGCAAGACGATTGAATATATATTATTATAGAAGCTAATAAAATCACATTAGGCGACGTGGCGGCGTTGGTTGACGTCTCCAATTTTTCAGTGGACGTCTAGAGT